TAATGTTCCTCTCTAGACAAGAATTCTATGTCCTCATTGTAAATCAACAAATTCAATACATTTACGAACATATTATATTTGTGAAAATGTATTAATGCCAACATCAACACCACCAGTAAACAAAAAAAAATCTTATTTATTTTTTTTCCGTATTTATATTTCAATAGGAAAAATGAACTTCAATTTCAATTCCAACAATATCAAAACAAACTAATACAATGATGATAACATGTTCAAAATGTTTTCGTTTAAATAATCCTAGTGCTCGTTTTTGTGATTGGTGTGGTGCATATCCTGATCATGCATCTACATCAATACAATGTACAAAATGTCATACTAATAATGATTCATTTGGAAAATGTTTTTCAACATGTGGATGTGTTCTTGAACCACCATTACGTATTATTCCCTCGACTGTAGGGAGGGTCATATGAAAAAAACTGAAAATGGGTTTGTGGGTTTGTCGGGGTCAAAAAAACATTCGGGTCAAAAAAACATTCGGGTCAAAAAAACATCTATTTTAAGCTCTCCCCTATAAAGGTTGACGAAAGTAAATCGGGGTCGGGGAATCCGAATCTGAAGTCGGAATTTAAAAATTTTGAATTGAATTTTTTGGGTTAGGGGAATGGGTTTTGAGAAAATATTAATATTTTATAAAGGTTGACGAAAGTAAATCGGGGTCGGGGAATCCGAATCTGAAGTCAGATTTTCAAAATTTTGAACTGAATTTTTTGGGTCAAGGGAAGGGTGTTTTGAGAAAATAACGATATTTTATAAAGGTTGACGAAAGTGAATCGGTGTCGGGGAATCCGAATCTGAAGGCAGAATTTAAAAATTTTGAATTGTGTTTTTTGGGTTAGGGGAATGGGTTTTTGAGAAAATATTAATATTTTATAAAGGTTGATGAAAGTAAATCGGGGTCGGGGAATCCGAATCTGAAGTCGGCTTCTCAAAATCTGGAATTGAGGTTTTTCAGTTGAGGAAAGGCTTTTTTTGGGAAACTAATGATATTTTAAAAAGATGGATAAAGTAGGGCGCGGTCGGAGAATCGAAGTCTGTAATTGATTTCCCAAGATTTCATATCCATATCTGTATGTGAAAAACTTGATTTCATGAAATAATCATAGTTTTCGCACTGAACTGTTCTTGTAGGAACAAATAATGTTTTCGGGAAGTAGTTATATGAAAAAATGCAACTGAAAATTTGTGAAATCCTTTTGTGGATTCGGATTGTTCGATTGCGTTTTACTTTTTAGAATATCGTTGAGGTGTAGATGGGAGTGTGTGGTAGTGAAGTGAGAGTGTCAGTAACTTTCGTGGTCATAGAGCAGTGCTCACACAACACTGACACTTACACTGGCAATACACTACATTGATGGATTCCTGTTTATTCATTGTTTTTTGAGTCAAATATCTTGGTTCTATAAAATCTGCTTAGTCCGGGAAAGCTAGTATAAACAGAAATCTCCAATGAAGTTACAAACTTTAGTGTAAATGCAGAATAACCAACTATTGTTTTTATGTATTCATATAATGCAGCAAGGGACCATGAGCGATGCCCGAGAGAGGCGCTGGCGAAAGACTAACTCCTTACATTGCAAACGCATTGTAACGTTGCTTTAGAAAAGGATCCATATGAAAGCAAGATTTATTGAGAATAGCCCACTAAGATTCTCTGAATCAGGAACCTAATAAAACTCTAACCTGTTTGCTAAACAATTAGATCGAAGAAATAAGGAATAGATAATAACGGAGTGTCGCTTGGGAGCTGCACATCAAGAGTCCTGTTGTTATGAATCTAGCGATTTTGCTAAGTAAGAGTAGCTTGGTATTTAATAGGATATAAATCAAAAAGAATTATCTCATGGAAGAATAGGATCACACATGGCAGTGACTAGTCACTGCACTGAACAATTCCTTTACGAGGGACGTCAAACTATCAGAATTCAACGGAAAACGTTACCGATCTAGATTTGGTGGGCTTCAGTTGGGACTGAACATGAGAAAAAACATGTAAATGATGTCATATCTTTTATATTAAATGGACAATAAAAAGCTTTTGTTCAAATGCACTGGTGTAAATGGGTTCGCTAGCCCTTGGTAGCATCCCAAAGAGGTGCCGACAAACCATTAGTCGTTCACATTGTGAGCATATTGGAGATTTATTTCATAAAATATCCGTGTAAAGGCTAGATTTTCTTAAGAAATCTGCACTAAGATTTGCTAAACGAGAATCTTTAAGAAAACTCTGATTGTCTAGCTAGGCAATCAAATTGAAAAAATCAGAAATATAATACGAGAAAGCTTCTCTTTAAATTTCCGTCGAGAATTCTCGTATAACAGATTAAACGAATTTTCGAAGTAAGCTAACCCTGGAATCATGTGGAATTTAAATAGAAAGGGATGGTGTTATGGTGGAGTGAAATTATGCGTGGCAGCAGCTAGTCATGAGTGGTGCCCCGGAGAGACACCGACGAGCGACTAGCTGCTGCACTGGATGATTTCTTGAAGAGCTACTTCAAATTGTTGGGATTCATTGAATAAACGTCAACTGTCAACATCTAATGGGTTTCAATAAGGAATAGCAGAGGAAAAAAGCTAAAAAACATTATCAGGTGAAATATGAGAAAACATTTTGGTGTTTGGACACAATATTTGAATAATTCATTAGACGGAAAACATTACTCAAAGAATTCATATTTGTTGTGTCGGAAACGAATATGAATGAAATAGAGAATTGTTCTGTTGGCATATGTTCTTGTCCGTATCCGTTCAAGTATCTCAATATGTACTGATATATTCAAATTACCTGTCTAGTCTGATCGCTGTTTTGAATAAAAACTTCTTTTAAGTATGATGTTCAGATTACTGAACAGATATTATATGATTGATTTTAAGCAAAGGGTTCAAGTAAGGTCATATTTTCCTAGCGAACTCCGTACTAAACATCATAATCGACGAATGTTCTAGAATGCATACGAATTTCTAGCAACATTTTAAAAGAATATTCTGCGTTTTCTCATAACTGTTGTGAACTTCTTTTGCTGTGTGGCCTCTGAAACATTGAATAGAATATCTTGTTTTAATGTGTTTTCATGTTTTTATAAAACGTTGTAATAAGTTATCAACATCGAGAGATTGTAATGTGATGACAGTGTTTCTTTTGGAATCTTCATTGGTCAGAAAGTGGACCAATCAGAAACGAGCTTTTTTTCCCTCCAAGTCAAGGAAGGGTCAGATGAAATAAAATGAATGTGTGATCTGGTGGTCATCCGGACGGGTACGCACTGCGGTTTGTCAGTGTGATTAGGGGCTAAATAACCTAAGTAACATCAAATATATATGAGACTTCTTCTGGCCAGTTCACTGAATAATTTATTGGCAGTGTTCGGCTGTGATTGAGCGAAGCTTCATTCGATTAGTAATAATTTAATGAGTTCCTGTTTTTTTCCTTACTAGCTGGCGTGTTCATGGAGGATTGATGTGGAAATAGGACATTTTCTATAAAAACAGTGCTCAGTCAGTGATATTTTTTAGATGATATTCGTTCAACTTTAGCTGATGAGTTTCATCACTTTAGCTTCATTGTAAATTGCCCTATTTAAGTGTTGTTCTCCAAGTTGATTTGTGCCAGAAAAATATCATACGTAAAATTGCATTCTCGCAAAAAACGTACTCAGCATCTCAAAAAAAGTCGAATCCACGACATAAGTACTTTTGAGAGTCAATATCTACTTTTAGTCGATCCGGCATCATTGATATTTACGTCCATGCTCATTATATTTTATCCTAGCTAAGTATTGAACAATTATTCGCATATTTGTTCAGGACTTTTCACTCATGTATTTTCTATATAGTCAGTTTAACTTGAAAAAGCTAATATGAGAAGATATTTGTAAATGAAGCCACAAAACTTATAGTACATGTAGAATAGCCAACTTTTGTTTTAGTGTATTCAAATAGTGGAGCGATTAGCCGTCACTGGCACACTGTAAAAAAATGGAATGCCTATATAAATTCTGGAAGGATATTCAAGGAATGTCCATATGAATTCAACAATGAATTTCCAGCTTTTTGAAAATAAGCAAATGATATTCTAGCTTCGATTTAACATAGGAAATAAAACCGAAATTCTTAGAATTAGAAAATCCAGCATTTGCAAAATATTCGAAATTCGATGAATAAATCATAAGACTTATAAAATCCTTTAGCTTATTCAATATCGATTTTCTTCAAAATAGAATTTAAAAAAAAATTACAGTGTACCTCGCAAGAGAACAGAAACAACTGGCGATTGATATTGGAAGCGTACTATAATTTCAATTCAGAAAAGATCTATGTGAAAGCTAGGTTTATTGAGAATTGTACACAAAGATTCCTTTAATCAGGAGGTCTAGTAAGAGTCTAACTTTTCAGCTAGACGATTAGGATGAAAAATAAGGAGTAGTGCATAACGAAGCCCCGGTTTAGGTTTGCCTATCAACTTGTCTCGTACTGTATATCTAAAAAAGTTTTTGATGTAAGTGCAATCTGGAATCTGATAGTGTATAAATCAAGGAAGATGATCTTTGGAGAGTATAGGATTGGACGTGGCAGTGGCTAGCCGCGAGTGGCCCCCCAGAGGAGCGCCGACGAGCGACTAGCTGCTGCCTTGGGCAATTTCTTTAAGATAGGCATCAAGGTGTTAGAATTCATAGGAGAAATGTCAACTGTCGAAATCTAATGGGTTTCAACAGGGCTTAAAAGTGACAAAAAATTGAGAAATATTTTCAAGTTAAATATAAGAACAGTTTTTTTGTACGGGTGCAATATCTGGGTAAGACATTAGAGGGAAGGTATTCCTCAAAGAATTTATATTCACTCTATTAGAAACAAAATTAATTGAAATAAAATTAATTTTTCTTTTGATATGTGTCCTTGGTGGGTGAAAAATCGGATTTTCTTAACTTTATTATCAACAAGTATAGTATGTATTGGCTTTAGATTGTGTCTAACCGTATGAAAAGAAGAAAGTGAAAGTGAATATTGATACTTTTCCAATTTTATAAAAATACTGATGAAGTTAATGACTTTTCTCTCGTTAACACAGATTTTGCGTCTATTCGTAAATTAAATGCAAAAGATACACGTTAATGAGCTATTGAAATCGGTTATATTCGATAATTATAAGAAAGCCGCGGTAATTTGTATCCATTCTCTCTATTATTGGGACAGACAGCGGATCTATTTTTTGCACATAGATAGCTCTTATCGTGCCTTGAAAGATTTGGAAGACAAGCAGATTAAGAACGCCTCAACATTACTCTTCAAATGTCCAAATGATGGAAGTTATTCACACCTTGAGGTCCCATAGGTTTGATATAAAAACACAAATATGATTTCACTAAGAGATGCTGCCCATGTCAAATCTCTGTATCTCAGTAGCTTTCAAAGGTATAACAAAAGCCATCTATGTTCAAATAAAGGTGACGGTGCCTTTTGTAGCGACAGAGGAGAGGAATAAAATTAGCTAGATTTTCTTACAATCCTACAATAGAACTGATTGTATGAGAATATTTCTCCCATTTCTTTCATTACGTTAAATCTATGCTCTGAGGATGTCTATCCATAGATGGGGCAGGATCTTAAACTGGGAT